ACTAGTATTCCGTGACATCAAGCTTAAATATTCCACCTGTCAGAAAAAAATGACAAAATTATTTTGAGTCATAAGTTAAATCAGGTTTCATAAAAGAAATTACAGAATCCCAGTATAGTTGTCTTTTCCATTATCATACAGCACATGGGACATTGGGACCATAATTATCTCTGACATCTAACAGAGCATGCCTCAGCATTTAGGAGTGAGCTTCTGAATAGAATTGTGTGAACAACTGATTTTTCAGTGACTGACTGTTGAACCACAGTATTGAAGACAGTTGGATCAGATTGAACTACAATCAAAAATGAAAAAGATACTAGCACGAAGTTTTTTTGCATCTGAAATAAAACCAGAAAAAATCTGAATATTGATTTTCATGTGAAAACAAAATTCTGCCAGATTATGTATGAACAATTAACTTAATGTGACCTTTGGCCTAGTATAAAGAAGATTTTTCTGTTACATTTGTGGCTTGAGAGCTCATGGCTCAAATGTGTGACATAAACAGGTCCAGCCTAAAATGCAGTCACTGCCCAGCAGACTACAAATTTCAGCCAAAAAGTAGAAACTGAGCACAGATCTCCTAAATAGCCAACCCAATAGCCTATGAAACTAGTTCACTGTGTCCCAGTTTGATTTCTACTCCTTATCTACATGGCAGTGCAAAAAAAACACCACTAAGGCAAGAGGTTTTAATAGTCACATTATCTTCAGTACCAGACATAATCGCAAAATACTGTGATAATATACTGCATATGAGGCACATAACAGAGAAAATACCTGAATGAATAGTAAGTACCAGGTGTCATTCGTGCATGGGCAGAATATTAATTTTGGCACCTCTCACAATGGCATCGTTTTTGTGCCTTAATGAAAAAGGCAGTTTCACTGATTCACCAGGTTTAGGCTACTGGTATCTGAGAACGTGACTCTTGGGAACCAATTAAATACCATTTGTTTATTGGATATACAGAGAATGAAAGATCAGGTCCAAACTCTAAATTACCTTCAGTTTCTTAATGGCAGTAGAAGGTAAGTACAGCAGTAGGGATGCGACTTACAAAAGGCTAAAACCATCAGCTGGAAACATCTGGAAGAAGAGTCTGTGAGATATTTGCTTTTAAATTAGTTCAACTCTTGATGATTCTGGACAATTATCTTGGCTTTTTTATCTTCTCATCCAACAGGGTGCTTCCATAATGATTCAGCTACGTAATTACTGAACAGAACAATTATTTAATTGCTTAACTTGAATATTAACAGCCAAATAATAGCAGCTAAATAAATAAAGATCCGTCTTCTAAATCCCTGCAGTACCCCCAAAAACACATCAGATAGAAACCTAGACACACTTAGCCTTATTGATAGTCATTTGTTCAATATGTATGCTTCTGTAAGTAGTACCTGATCATAAACATTTTTACTTATAAATTGTGTGAAAGTTGAAAAATAGAAATACCTTCCCTCCAAGCAGAAATTATTCATAATAATACTGTTGCAGTAGTTCAAGAAGGAATTGTAGCAGTTGTAGCAGTCAGGAACCCAAGATATATTTGAAAGGTATATCGAGCTCAGGGCACTGAAGTATGTTTTACTGTACTCTCTAGAGCAATAAAATCAGCATAGAAGTAGGCAGAATAAACCTTCTATACGAAGAGAGAACAAACTCATGCTAGTTCTTTCCATTTAAACTCTGCCTTTAGACATCCCAAACTCTCCATTTTTAAGTCATTAGTAGTTTTGTTATGCTTTTATCATGGGTAATTTGCATCTCTAAAGATAACTGCTGAGTGTATTCCAACTAGTAAATAATAATAGCACCAAAGATGTTAGTTTGCATCAGATGTCTCTCTAGTGCACCACCTTTTCACTTAACTACTTTTGATAATGTGTATCAGCAATTCCCTTTTCTTAAAGCCTTAACTAATAATTTTGGTAATCTTTAGCCTGTTATTAGTCTGTTTAGTATTACACAATACAGCATAATCCTTCTGACACAATCAGCTAAGCTTCAATGATGGATTAATGTATCAAGAACATCAGCTCCAGGTATGCAGAACACCTTTGCTACTGCAGACTGCTTCAATTCCACAGAGCAACAGTCAACACATAGGGTGTTTCTAGCTGAATGTGGTAACATAGGAAAGAGCAGTGCAGTGTTGTAATTTCAATTTAAAAGGTAGCAATCTGTTATTGTAATCAGTTCCTTAAAGGCTGCTTTCAAGCTAGCTTTGCAGTCAAAAATGCTTAAATATTTAATTATTTTCTAAGAGATCGTGAACCAGTTCCTTGAGTGAAATGTACTTCAGTATAAAAATGATTGTTTCATTCCCAGGAAAAACATTTCAAAAGTAACTTATCTGATGGAATATTAGCCTTGACAGATATAGATAAATAAAAGTTGAAATGTAGTGCTAGTTTTGTCACAGGAAACATAATGCAGAATTTAGGCCGAGATGCATTGCAAAAGTATCACAGTTTAAATGTAATATCCCAACGTGTTCAAACCCAGTGTGACAGTTCCATCTTTGGAGTGTTCTCTGTTTTTCAGCCTTCACTAACTTCAGCCATTAAACTCCAGTTACAAATGGTGAGATGAAGGAATCCTGGCCAACTGTGTACCTTGCATTGTCACTATGGCATAGATAGCAGAAAACTGCATACT